GCACTGGTCGTAGCTAGATGTCCAGGCGAGCGAAGCAGGCGATCGGACTGCGACCACCTGCTGCACGACGGTCAGGATGTTGTATGCGAGCTCCTCGGTGAATACCTGAGAGCGAGAAGTATCGCGCCCTTGAACTTCAGCGTGACGATGGCTGCGATCGCACCTGCGGGTCACCGACTCCGCAAATTTGGGATGGTTGCTTACCCACGTCAGAGTCTTCCACATCAGCTCGCCGTTGAGGGCCCTGAGGTTATAGGGGCAGCTGTCGCCGCGTCCCCAGACGGTGTGGTGGTCCTTCCAGAGCGGGTCGAACTCGGGCTGCTCCCACGCCTGGCTCTGGTCGGCGTTCTCGAGGAGGAAGTACCTGCCGTTCTTCTGTTGCTCGAGAGCGGTCCATGCGACAAGCTTGAGCAGCGGCCGATCCTTGCCCTGGAGGGAAGCGAGGAGGTCGGGGAAGTCACGGTAGTTAATCGCGCAGTTGTACCAGCACCACTTCGTACAAGGGAAACCCATGATAACCACCGGCGGCTTGAACGTCTTGACGGCGTGGCCCCACCTCCGTCGACCAGCGACCGCGCCCAGGTCGAAGCCGTAGATGAGGTCGACGGGCTGCAGAGCGGCGAGGCCGAAGAGGTGCGCGCGCTTGGCGATGTTCCCCTGTCCGGCGAAGCCCTCGAGGATGTGCACGTGGCGCGGCGCCTCGGCGTTGACCTGTCGGGCGGCGCTGTCGACGACGTCCCGAACCTTAGCCTCGACCTCGTGCGCGGAGATGGTGCGGTTGAGGTCGCCGATGCGACGCTTCAGAGCTCCTCGAAGCCCTCGTTGGATATCTCCCCGTCCGAGTCGTCCTCCTCCATGATGGCGTCGGTCTCCCTGGGGCGGCGGCGCCTGGCTGGCGCCTGCTTGGACATCACCTTGCAGCGGGGCGCCGTGAAGGACTGTGCTGGGACTGAGGGTCTCGAAGATGATGCGCTCGGCGCTGCTGGCGATGCGGTGCTTCTCGCTGCTATGGCTGCCGGTGACAGCGGCGGCGGCCGCGAGGGGGATGCCCGCGATGACTTGGGAAGGTCGTCGGGATACTCGATCCACTGGGTGTCGGTGACGATCCACTTCCACCTCATCTGGCACGCCGGCTGCTGGCACCTGGCGCACCACCCGTGGCGACCCGCGCAGTACTCCTTGATGGTCGAGACCCCCGTGGTCGAGTCCTGGTGGTCGCGCGGCTCGCGTCTTTTGGGCGCCTTCATGTCCAGGTAGGCTTCGTGCGCCTTCAGACCCTCGGCGCATCCCTTGACGAAGGCAGCCAGGAGCGGCGTCGCCTTCAGGAACGCGTTCCGAAAGCCCGTGCCCGTCATCAACGAAGCTCGAAAGGCCTGACCTGCGCTCAGGGCCGCGTAGATGACCGCCCACAGGCGCATGAGAAGTCGGTTCCATCTCTCGCGGATCTGCGGCCGCATCCGCTGCGGCGGACTGGCTGCATTATGGGAGGAGCCAAAGGCTCGGATATGGAAAGCTGGCAGCTGCTGGGACTGGGCTGCTTGACCGAAGATGGCTGGCTAGTCGACTCGGATCGCTCGATCTCGATGGCGCCCTCGGGGGTCTCGCACTCGGCTAGGCCGTCGTCGGCAATGTCGAAGTGCACGCATCGCTGGTGTCATCGCACGTCCATATTGGTAGACTCGCTCGCCGAGGTCCTCTGGTTCAGTTGTACTCGCTCGAGGTGTCGCACTCGACGGTGTTCACATTTGATCTTCGCATCGGGGGGTAGGGTGACGTCCTCATCCAAGGTGTCCCAATCCGAGAAGTCAGGTAACTCGTTCGGGAACTTGGAGATGCACACGATGAGCTGGCCGTTCCTGGCCCTCTGAAGCGGGAGGTCGTAACCCCGACCGCCAAGAAGCTGATTGCCCCCACGAACACGTTGATGGAGGCCCCCAAGAAGACCATGAACTCGTTGGAGGCTAGCAGGGGAATCGCGGACGACACCTCGGAAGACCTAGCCCAGAGCGCCACACCTGCGATGCCTATCGGGTAACCCCATCGGAGGACTGAGTGGATCTCGGGGCCCTCGCCGAACTTGAACCTCTCCTGGGCGGCCCGCTCGACGAGGGGCAGGGATCTGTCTTCGAGCCTCTGGGCGTGAATGCCCCCCAAGCGGATCCATGGACCATCCTTTGGCACGCGGTATCGGCAATCATCCAACTCTTACCGTCAAACTCGTCGATATACTCGATTGAATCTCCGACTGCCAGGCCCTTGAAGACTGACTGAGACATCATCCACGCACGCATGGTAGAGGACGAAGTAACATGGGCGGAGCTGGCAGGGGCGGGAGCGGAGGAAGAAAATACCATAGATGTATGAAACGGTTTTTTCTCTGCCCTCCATGCTCTGCTGGAGGTCCAACGCGAGAACTGGAAGGCTTCGGCCCGAGCTTGGCGCCTGGCTTCTTGCAGGCGGCGTCCCCAGCCCAGTGACCGAGCTCTCCGCAATCCAGGCACGCCTCCGTCTTCTTTCTCTGTTCGATCTGGTCGGCGCCCTGGCGAGGTGCGGATGAGCGGGGGCCTCCTTTCCCCTTGGCGTGAGAAAAACCTCGAGCTTGAGTGATCCCCTTCAGCTTCTGAGACGTGATGCTGAGAACGTCGTTCAAGGCCGTCATAGCCTCGTGCACTTCATCGAACTCGGCGGGTCCCTGGTCGGCGGCCTCCTCCGTATTGGGCTCATCGTCATCTGGCTGGCCGTCGACCTCATCCTCGTGCTCGGCAGCCTCCTCGCCGAGCTGACCCCCCTCGATCGCGGCCTCGGCGGCGTTCACCGCGTGGCGAGGCGGGGGCGGCCGCGGAGCCGACGGCCTGTCCAGCAGGGCGGGGCGGCTGGGCGGCGCAGGTGGTTGCTGCCGCCGAGGGCCGCCGCCAGGCTCCTGCCCGTGGCCTCGCTCGCGGTTGTCGCCCGGCGCCCTCTCGCGGCGCGGCCAGACCACTGGCGGCGCCGCCGCCCTCTCCGGGTACAGGCGCCCGATGGCGTTCATGATCCCGTCGAACTCGTAGTTGTGGGAAATCGGAAGAATACCTCGTACATGTTCTTCGCCGAGAAGCGCCGTGCTCAGCAAGCGGTGTCCGCGAGCCTGGGCGTCTAGAGACTCGGCTATATTGATCTTGACCTGCTTGAGCGCACGCTCAACTCTGACGTACCTGGTGCAGTAGGCATGGAGCTTCTCACCATGACTCCTCTTGATCCTCTCGTACGCTGCCAGCAGGTCGCCCGTGTGGAAAATCTCTTCCTCGCCGAAGGGCGAGCGCATAACTTCAACCAAACGTTCGATGCCGTCCTGGGTGCCCCATGTCATCGGCGGTTCGGAGATGATCTCCTTCAGCGCCTCCCCCGCGACGGCATCTCTGGGCTGCAACGCCGCCTCAGCGAGCGGCAGGCAGCGCTTGACTCGGAACTTCCACGCGTCCACCGCATCACGCCAGTGTTCCCAACAGCGCGGGTCCGTTCTGCGATCCCCCGAGAAGGTCGGGGCCGCTGGCGGTGCACCTCCGCGCCATCGGACTCCAGGGGCGGGGCCGCGGGGGTAGAGCGGGTCGTCAGCGGCGTCGTCTGATGTGCTGCTGCCGCCTCGGCCGCGCCGACCACGGCGCCTCCTCAAGACACCGTAGCTCTCCCCTTCGTCTCCATGTTCCGAGGGCGGGTACGACATCGTGGCGAGAACTCAAGTTCACGACGTGCGCTACCAATGTGATCGGACTTCTTTTCACTGCCGCGAGCGGAGCGTCGCCACGGCCTTCAGTCCTGCGTATGTAGCTCCCGGCGGGAGCGGAATAATGATTCGGGCCTCGAGCCCGGCAATCTCAGACCGCTGATCTGACTGTTGTATAATATGATTGCCTGTGGATGTTTATATGTTGAGTTATCTGTCTGATGTCGCCGGCTGGCGGCTCTACAAGAGGGGCCCCTCAAGCTGGTTTGACCGAAGCGGCCATGCAACGGCACAAGCCTGAGAGGGGCAAATATGCAAGCTGAAACTGCAGAACATTCACAGTAATCGCAATAATAGAAGCTGAAACGCACTCGGGGCCTCTCGAGGCTAAAAGGGTGTCTAGTGGGAATTTACAGACAAGGCTGGCATGCTAAAACGGTTACTGTTTCAGAGAACCGAAGACCCATCACGGGGAAGTGGCGGGGGGCGGCGGGCAGCGGGCAGTGGCGCAACAGACGCCGGCGGGCCAGCCCCTACGGAGCGGCGGCTGGGGTGGGCAGCAGCGTCGGGGCTAGCAACGTTGGCGACCAGCATGGCAGATGCGCGTACAAAGGGACACGTGCGTCGGCGAGCACCGCCGGAACGTCGAGGAGCAGCAGCAGCCGCTCGAGGGAGACGTCTGAGATGAGACTGGAGCTGAGCCGCGTCAAAAACTGCGAAAAGAAACATTTATGCGTGCCGCGAAGCGTCGCAGAGAAGCAGGACTGGCCCGCGCTCGGAGGCGCGGGTGGCCAGGGCACGCCAGCGATCCTCACGGTGAGGCCGTCGCTATTGATCCGTTGGCGGCACGAGACGCTGCTGAACCGTGACGGTCCACAATGATCCGCGAAATGACGCAAAGTCGCCGTCCGTAAATCATGCGGGGGTATGGCGGCGTGTAGGAGCCCCGAATGGCAGGGTGCGTCGGCGGAGCCGACTAAGGGCCAGGGCGGCCGGGAGAAGGAGCCAAAACAGTGCTCCGAGACACCAAGCTCGCCATCGACAAACACACACACACACAAACGCCCGCACACACGCACAAACACACACACACATATTTAGAAAGTGTTATGCTTGAGTGCCAACTGCGCCGAATGTTCAACAAAGGCGCTGGGCGTGCTGGTGACTGTAACCCTTGACGATTTGGGCAGCAGCCCGCCTGGGCCCGCGATTCGATTACAAACAAAGTTTCGCCGAATGCCTGCCGCCCAACACTATCCATGTCTATCGTAACTTCCCTGTCTCAAGCGATCCCTCGTACCGGCACGGTTGCACTCGCGCATGGCGACGAACTCCTCGGCGCAGCCAGACGCCTTGTAGCTGCCGGAGGTGCATTTCATCAGGTTGACAGTTTGGCCTCAGCGCGCACACAGCACGGTCGGGCGTACGACGGCAAAGCTGGACCACACCTGACTAACGATAGATCGTGGCAGTGGGTACAGGAAAAAAAACAAGGAAAAGAGGTGGAGGTCTAGGGGCGAAGGGGAAGAGGACGAGGAAGAGGAATACAAGAAACAAATTCGCCGGCCCAACGGGCCAGGGCGTGCTAAGATCTCCGGTACCTGATTAACAGTATTTCTAATTCGCGCGCGCGGGGCGGGTCCCCGGACGAAAAGTACCCCGGCAAGGTCCCGGCAAGTCCCCGGCAAGTCCCCGGCAAGGTCCCGGCAAGGTCGGGTCAGAGATGCCGGAGTTCTGTTTCGGAGTCCAAGAGGGCTCCAGATCGGTCCAAGAGGGCCCCGAAAAGCTTTCTAGACGGTCCAAGAGAGGCCCGAGACGGCCAAAGATCGCCCGAAGACGCCCCAGATGGTCCCAAGACAGCCCAAGAGGCCTCCAAGACGCTCCAAGGGCCTTCCAAGAGGCCTCCGAAGAGGGCCCCAAGTTGCCAAAATCGTTGATTTTCATTTGTTTTTTCTATGTTTTTTTGCGTTCTGGCCTTTTCGCTTCCGGACGCTCCAAGAGGGCCCAAGAGGCCTTCAAGACTGCTCCAAGACGGCCCACGAGGCTCCCAAGACGGCCCCGGAGCGGCCCAAGAGCGCCCCCCAGACGGCCCAAGTGCTGCCCAAGGCGGACCAAGAGGCCCCAAGACGGGCCCAAGAGGGGCTCAAGAAGGGAACCGAGAACTGAAAAATCGAGCCCTCCGCCCCAGAAGGCGCCCAGGACCCCGAAAGAGGCCCCAAGAGACTCTCCAAGACACCCCCAAGACGCCCCAATAAGCTCCCGTGAGGCCCCAAGAGGACCACAACGTCAGGCCCCAGGCCCCAAGAGGACCAACAAATACCGCCAAGAGCCCGCCGAAAGCCCCCCAAGAGACCGTCACGAGAGCTCAGGAGGCCCCCTGGAGGCCTCCCGAGTTCTCCAAGAGGCCTAAAAAGAGGCGCCAAGAGGCCCCAAACGGCCCCACCGAGGAGGCCACGAACGCGCAAGCAAACGCCTGCGATGGCACAATACGGGCCGGCGGAATGAGCGAAGCGATTAAATAAAGGAGAGGGAATCGAGGAAGAGGACAGATAAGAGTCCGACACCGCGCCCCCTGGCAGGTTCGGGGGGCGTGTCAAAATACCCAGTGTTGTCTGGTAGAACTTCTAAATCGTCCAAGGGACCGCACATCCCTCTCGTCACAACGTGGGGCATACACAGCCCCCCACCTCCTCCCGAGGCTTCCTCGGTGGCCCGGCGCCTCCCTGGCGCTCTGCAAGGCTTTCTGCAGTTTCCACGACGGCTTGGCTGGGAAAGATCACCAAGGCCGCCAAGATGGCCCAACATTAACTCAACGGCCCGCACACAAGCGTCCCCAAGAAGCGCCAACAAATCCCAAGATGCCTCCAAGAGGCCCCCAAACATCCGAAAGATACTCTCCAGGAATCTGGAAAAAGGCAAACGTACTAACACCCCTTCGATCTATAGCGCTTTCCACGCTCTTTGGTCGAAGATCGGTCCACTTGCGGTTTTCGACGGGTCCAGAGATAGGAGCCCACTGAGAACCCCAAAAGGGCCCAGAACTGCCCAAAGAGAGCCCAACTTATCCCAAGAGGACATCCGGACGGACCCAAGGCGGCCTGAGAGGCCCCCCGGACGGCCCAAGGGAGTTCCAGGACGGCCCCACGACGACCCCGGGAGACCCTCCCGATGTCAAAGAGAGCCGCAGGATGGCTCAGTTGAGCCCCGAACCAGCCCGAGATGGCCCCAACGCGGCCAAAGAAACCCCACGAAGACCTTTCAGGACCTCCAGAGGGCCTCAAGACGGTCCACCCAAACCCCAAGACAGACTCTGAAGGCGCCAGACTGCCCCAAAGAGTCCAACGACTGCGCAAGGAGAGCCCCGAACGCATCGAGGTGCCCTCAAGACTCCCCCAAACGGCCCCCAAGACGCCCCCAGGAAGTCCCAAGAGAGGAAGAAAAGAAAACAAAACGACGACCACGAAGAGAGACACGTCGACGGGAAACGGAACAGCGTGTTCAGTGTACGGCTACCTCAAACTTCGGCTCACGAAATGTCACGCGTCACGATGTCATGCGCGCTCCTCGAATACGCAATATCCAAACTTTTGGGCTGGCACGGCGACGGAACTTGCCGCAGGCAGCTGGAAATTAGAACATGAAGAAGATGAGGGAAAAGAACAGCGGTGTAAGATGCAACCAGTGAACAACAAAAAAAAACTGAATCGGATTGGGGCGCGATTGGGGTATCTCTCTCATATCGTAAATAACATTCGCGGTGTCGAGCACAGGGTCAAAAACCAAGCCATCAACATAACACGTATTCGGGCGGCCATGCTGGATTAGGACACGGGATAACAGGAACACGTTGAAGTAGGAATGGCACAGGCCGAGAATGCGAGACAGATGCGCGCACTGAGCGTAACACATGAAGAGGGGAACGTTGATGATGTATCGAAATCGTGCGCGCCATACGCAACACCAACGCCACGCCCTGTCTGACTAGCCCTGCACCCACTTGGCTTGGTTTGGCACTTGCGCAATCGCCCATCGGGGTCCGATTTGCAAGCGCCCCCATCCCCCACCGGTGGCGCCCGTCCCTCTAAACACTCCGCCATCCCGCCCCCCCTCACTTCAGAAGAAGAAGACGATGCCGCCGCAGAGTGGGAGAATGGAGGGTGGGCAGGGGGGCCGGATACTGAATTTACAAGGGGCGATGGAAAGGACAGCAGCACCAGCAGAAACCCGGCATACGCACTCGAACAAGTAAGGCTCGACGACGAGACAAGAAAAGAGGTGAGGTGGATGAAAACGGCACAGGGTGGCAGACGTAGGAGGAAGGTCTACCTCCTGCGGCGCGCTCGCCACACCTGCGCCCACGGCCTCGCAGCTTCACCTGAAAGCCGCGTCGTAGTACCAGGCTCGGGCGTTTCACCTCGCTCACTTCTCCCCATGATCGACGCCTAACTTGCCTTCAAGCCACCAGGACAATCCGCAACCAGCTGATTCAGACGAACTCCGCCTTGATGTGTGAGATGACGGTGGCGACCACACTGGTGGCACCACAGCTGCCTCTTCATCAACATTACTTGTGGCTCAGACTTGTGCTCTGGCCGCGAAATGGACAGAAGCTTGCAACATCGGTGGAAATCAGAGAAAAACGCTGCAGTCGGACTTGCACTCTCTACCGGAACGACGTGCGTGTGGTAGCCACTCGCACAAATTGCGGTAGCCAGGGGATCGCTTGCACTTCGTACAGTCAAGTATGCCGACCATTGTCACGCTGTCTCATAGAATGCCGAATCTGAACCTCCAGCAAGACGATGTCGGGATTGAAATGGGTGGGGAGGAGGAGAATTCTCCGAATACTGGGGAGGAGCGGCAACAGGAGCAGATTTGGAGACTGGGAGTACTGAGAGGTGGGAGGCGGCGGTGTGTTAGAGACGCGATAGCCCTGCCAGACGTCCGCTGGCGCCACGGCAACGCCCCAACAATATGGTTGCAGCAGTGCAACACGGCACAACAAAAAAGTGCTAGGCTCATCTGAAACGGTTGATTCACGTCGCAAGAGGATCAAAACTCATGCGACATCAAGCCCGCTTTCACACATATCGTAAAGCGAATAACTTCACCGAGCTGACACATATAGTACCAGTCAAAGCTCGCCAAGTGCAGGAGGAAACATTGAGAGGATGTCGAAGAAGAGGAGGACGAGGAGGGTTAGAGACGAATAGGACGTGGATGATGAGGGGCACTACAAAGCTGTATCTCCTGGGATTCACGGAACGGTGAACGTTGCAAATGCTCATGCCGCAGACATTATGACCGTGCTGGGCGCGCTGGAATATTTAACGAACTGTACTACACTACCTCGTTGAAGGGGGGACTATACTGCGATGTGCAAGGCAACAATGGGCCATGGCCTGCACTAGATTTCGGGCACGCAACCCACCTGGGCAAACTTTCAGGTACCAGAACTCTCATACCCTCCCGCGAGAGCAGGAGGGGGAAAGGGAGGAGGCGGAAGAAAAGCAGCAGCAGGGGCAGGAGGGAGAAGTTGAAGCAGAAGAGGACAAGAACATAGAAAGCGGGGAAGGGAAACATTGATAGATGGGGGAACGGCGGCGTGGAGGAGGATAGGGAGGGTAGGACGGGTGATGGGAGGGGGGGCGCCAAAAAGGGAGGAGAGGTCGTGGACGGGGAGGGGGAGGGGGGGAGGGGGGTGGGAGGGGAGTATGGAACTACCGACAGCGAAACAAGCACATGCGAACATTCTTCGAGACGCTCAGTCCAGCGAGTGAGGAGTGCACACAGACCGAGATGGAATCTCCACGAACCACGATCTGCACGTATTACCATGCCCAAGCAATCGAAACAATGGCCACACAAACGTGGGCCAACCTTTGCCAAAGGCCAAAAGCCTCATGCAGACAACCAATTCGAAGGAAGATCCAGGTGGGGGCGAACGCGAAACCCTCGTGCCGATGAATACATCATCCACCTGTGCAGAGCCACCGCCTTGCCGAGGCCGCGGCCGATGCAGCAGTCAGTGTTGCTCGCTTTCGCCATGGCAGTCAGCTCCTTGCGACACCCTCGGACTGCAAGCGCACAGCCGCTCGGCCAGCCCACTGAGCTCCACACTATTCGCCGATCCTCCCTTGTCTATCCTCCTCCTCCGTCTTCTTCTCCGTCTGCTCCGCCTCCGCTTGCTTCGCTTCACCCCCATCCTGTGGCCCCCACTCTCCCTCCGCCCATTCCTCTCCCTCCGCAGATTCCTTTTTCCGTCTCTCCACTCTTCACTCATTGTGCTTCCTCCCTCCTCACTCCCTCTCTCCTCTCCCCTGTATCATGACATCCCCTTCCCCCAATCCTCATCCTCCTCCTCTTCCTCCTCCTCATCATCATCACCGTCATAATCGTCATCGTCGTCGCCATCATCATCATCATCATCATCATCATCATCATCATCATCATCATCATCATCAGCATCATCATCAGCAGCATCAGCATCAGCATCAGCATCAGCATCAGCATCAGAATCAGCATCAGCATCAGCATCAGCATCATCATCATCAGCATCATCATCATCATAATCATCACCATCATCATCAGCATCATCAGCAACATCATCATCAGCATCACCATCACCAACATCATCAACATCATCAATATCAACATCATTATCCGTAAGGACTTCGCCCCCTGCCGCCGGCCCCTTTCAATCATAATGGGGTACGCCCGAGCTGTGCTGTATTTTCTCGGCGCCGTCGTGAAACAATATCGGAATATCATGCTCCGGCAATTGGTAAGTGGCATATCATGTATACGAAGTTGTAGAGCCTCGGGGACGCAAACATTGCGTAATTTATGGTGGTGTGTGGTTTGTGGATTCGGATACGCGACTGTCGCGTAACTTACAAAAGGTGTATAGCCTCGGGAACGCGAAGATTCCATACATTACGGGTGGGTATGGTTTCGGGGGCGGGAATACTGTATAATTTACAAGGGTGGATTGCTTCGGGGACGCAGATATTGTGTCACTACATAGGAGTATGGCTTCGGGGAAGCGAGCATCGCTTAATATAAAAGGGTGTATGGCCTCGGGGGGCGAGTATGGTGTAATTTGCTGGGGGGTATGGCCTCGGGAACGCGAGTAGCATGTATGTTTGCATGTCCCACGCGCCCCAGGGAATCCCGAAAACCCTCCCAAGGCGTGGTACAAAATCCCGCTTGGGATTCCCACCCCTCGCGCGCACAACAACACTTGATAGCAAGGACGCAGAAGGCAGGACTGTAACAATGGAAACTGGAAGCTGCAACTTGAAAAGAATCGACAATATTGACCCTCGCAGCCTGGTGGCCCGGCAACGGGGCCGGCGGATCATCATCAACAACAGCATCATCAGCAGCAGCATCATCAGCAGCATTGTCATCATCATCAAAAATTACTCCGACGGAAGGACTCCACATGAGAATCCTCTGGGCGAATCTGGGAAAAGCCCTCAAGGTCGTCCTGGTGGTTGGTGAGGCGTCCTGGCTTGTGTCTTCTGCGTATATTTCGAAACGAACTAACATGATCTGCGGGCCCCATAGGGAGGGGGTTCCCGCCTGAGACTTCCTCGCCATTCACTCACAAACGAGGCTCCCGCCTGATACTTCTCCCATATTCAGGCCTCAGGAGCCCAAAAGTGACGACAGTTACACGTTGCGGATGACCCGCTCGGATTCAAACATGAAGTGCTGGCCCCATAGGGAGGGGGCTCTCGCCTGAGACTTCCTCGCAATTCACTCACAGACGAGGCTCCCGCTTGAGACTTCCTCCATACTCAGGTCTCAAGAGCCCAAAAGTGACGACAGTTGCACGTTGCGGATGACCCGCTCGGATTCAAAAATGAAATGCGGGCCCCATAAGAAGGGGGCTCCCGCCTGAGACTTCCCCACAATTCACTCACAAACGAGGCTCCCGCCTGATACGTCCTCCATATTCAGGCCTCGAGAACCCAAAAGTGACGACAGTTACACGTTGCGGATGACCCGTTCGGATTCAAACATGAAGTGCTGGCCCCATAGGGAGGGGGCTCCCGCCTGAGACTTCCTCGCAATCCACTCACAGACGAGGCTCCCGCTCGAGACTTCCTCCATATTCAGGTCTCAAGAGCCCAAAAGTGACGACAGTTGCACGTTGCGGATGACCCGCTCGGATTCGAACATGAAGTGCGGGCCCCATAGGGAGGGGGCTCCCGCCTGAGACTTCCTCACAATTCACTCACAGAACGAGGCTGCGAGACTTCCTCCATATTCAGGTTTCAAGAGCCCAAAAGTGACGACAGTTGCACGTTGCGGATGACCCGCTCGGATTCGAACATGAAGTGCGGGCCCCATAGGGAGGGGGCTCCCGCCTGAGACTTCCTCACAATTCACTCACAGACGAGCTCCCGCTCAAGACTTCCTCCGTATTCAGGCCTCAAGAGCCCAAAAGTGACGACAGTTACACGTTGCGGATGACCCGCTCGGATTCGAACATGAAGCGCGGACCAATGGGAGGGCTCCCGGAGACTTCCCCAATTCACTCACAGACGAGGCTCCCGCTCGAGACTTCCTCCATCTTCAAGTCTCAAGAGCCCCAAAGTGACGACAGTTGCACGTTGCGGAAGACCCGCTCGGATTCAAACGTGAAGTGCGGGCCCCATAGGGAGGGGGCTCCCGCCTGAGACTTCCTCGCAATTCACTCACAGACGAGGCTCCCGCTCGAGACTTCCTCCATAGTCAGGCCTCGAGAGCGCAAAAGTGACGACGGTTACACGTTTCGGATGACCCGCTCGGATTCGAACATGAAGTGCGGGCCACATAGGGAGGGGGCTCCCGCCTGAGACTTCCTCGCAATCCACTCACAGACGAGGGGGGTGACTCCCGCTCGAGACTTCCTCCATACTCAGGTGTCAAGAGCCCAAAAGTGACGACAGCTGCACGTTGCGGATGACCCGCTCGGATTCGAACATGAAGTGCGGGCCCCGTAGGGAGGGGGCTCCCGCCTGAGACTTCCTCACAATTCACTCACAGACGAGGCTCCCGCTCGAGACTTCCTCCATATTCAGGCCTCAAGAGCCCAAAAGTGACGACAGTTGCACGTTGCGGATGACCCGCTCGGGTTCGAACGTGAAGTGCGGGCTCCATAGGGAGGGGGCTCCCGCCTGAGACTTCCTCGCAATTCACTCACAGACGAGGCTCCCGCTCGAGACTTCCTCCATATTCAGGCCTCAAGAGCCCAAAAGTGACGACAGTTTCACGTTGCGGATGACCCGCTCGGATTCGAACATGAAATGCGGGCCCCATAGGGAGGGGGCTCCCGCCTGAGACTTCCTCGAAATTCACTCACAGACGAGGTTCCCGCTCGAGACTTCCTCCATATTCAGGTCTCAAGAGCCCAAAAGTGACGACAGTTGCACGTTGCGGACGACCCGCTCGGATTCGAACATGAAGTGCGGGCCCCATAGGGAGGGGGTTCCCGCCTGAGACGTCCTCACAATTCACTCACAGACGAGGCTCCCGCCTGATCCTTCCTCCATATTCAGGCCTCAAGCCAGCGAGTCGTGATGATGATGATGATGATGATGATGATGATGATGATGATGATCGTTCGATGCCGATGATGGTGAGTGATCGCGCGATGGTGATGGTGATGATGATGATGATGAGTGGGGAGCGATGGTGATGGTGATGATGATGCGGAGGAGGAAACAAAGAGGAGCAGAGGAGAGGGAGGAGGAGGAGGAGAGATCCCGCACGGAGGGTGCGCAGAGAAAATTACTCCGACGGTAGGACCCCACATGAGAATCTGTTTAGCTTACCCTTTGCCCTTTCCTCCTCCCCCTGGCGGACACCCTCTCCTCTCGCCCCCTACACTGCCCTCTCTTCCCCCTTATATGTCTCTTCCTCCTCATATTTCCTCTCCTCCTCCTCCTCCTCCTCCTCCTCCTCCTCCTCCTCCTCCTCCTCATCCTCCTCCTCCTCTCGCGCCACCTCCTCCTCGTCGCCGGCCTCCCCCATGCCCCTTCCCTCCTCATCCCCCTGCCTTTTCTCCATGTGCACCTCCCCTTCCCCCTCGTCGGGGCAAGCAAATCCATTTTCCTCAGCGCCGTCGCCGC